TAGCAGTCCATGGTATATTCAACACTCTTCTCCAGCACCACAGCTCAAAGGCATCAATTCTGTATCAACCCTATTCACTGTCCAACTCTCTGATGCATAGCACGTAATTGCGAAGACTATAGCCCGGATCAGGCACACCTTAGTCTCCAGCCTTATATCGTTGCTCTTCAGTACTCTTGAGAGGTCCCTCACAGCTGACTTTCCCAATGCAATTCATCTCTTGATTTCCTGGTTGCTGTGAACAAGAGTGTTGACTATGGAGCTAAGTAAATTAAAACTGTTAACTATCTCAGTCTCTTCACCATCCATACTGATGCTGCCAATTGTCACAATGGTGTGAACCTTTGTTTTCTAGATGTTGAGCTTCAATCTATATAGGAGGCTGCAGTGCTTGACCTTCTGTAGCAAGTGCTTCAGGTCCTGATATACTTGAGCTCATTGTTACAGACACTGTGCAAAACGATTTTGTAGGTGGTAGTCTTCCTTTCTTTCTCTGACTTTCCACCTTTCCTAGCATAACGTCTTTTTCCAAGTACTAGCCCCTCATGAAAAAAAATGCCTAAAGTATGTGAGGTGAAGTTTCACCATCTTTGCCTCTAAGTAGCACCCTGGATTCACTTCCTCTGAGATGGACTTGTTCTCTTGCCAGTGTCCAATACTCTTCTCCAACACCACAACTCAAAGGCATTGAATCTTCTGTCACACTTAACGTCCAACTTTGAGAGGCATAGCAGGTGACTGAAAAGATCATCATAATCAGGTGCATCCCATTCTTTAAACTATCATTTTTAATAGCCATACCTAAATTCACCCCTGAGAGATAGGTCTCCCACACGAATGGTGAGAATTCTGCCACTGAACTACCATTTATGCAGTCAGTGGGCCCTGACTCAGAACCTAAAAAAGTCCACTCTTGATGTAACTTCAAAAAGTGAAAGACTAGAAAAAAATGGGGGTGTCATCTAATACAACATTGAAATTCCCAAACATGTTGCAGTCCTAGTAAGCTTGGACCACCTTGCCAAGACTCTAACTGTGAAATATAGATGATTCTCATGTCCTTGTAGATGTTGTGAAAGGCCTTGAAGTTTCCACTTGGCTGAGAATCTCCCTACTGTGCAAGACATCCTTGTGAGGCTCTTGGCAGTGGAGCAGTGAAGTGAAAAGACAAGGCTGCTGTCTCTTCAGATAAAACAATTACACATGCAGGTTTCAATGTGTAAGACAGTCTGAAAATGGAGAATACATCAGGAAGAAGCAAAAGATTTTTTGAATCATGTACTTCTATAATAAAGATACAGCTGTTACAATATTTGATTTTATGAATTTATTATTTCTTTCTAAAAAAGCAACTTCCAGGGTTTGTCATTGTACAGGTTCAGCTCAGTCTCCTATAGCATGGTGCATGCACAAGAGATTTTTCTAATAATGAATTGGAGCCACAAAGATCTGCAACAGTCTTCTGAATTATTACAGAAAGAAGAAAGATTAAGAGTGAAATGTAAATGTATCTTTTAAAAAAAAATTATTCTAACTCTTTTAAATTGTCTGGCCAAGTATAATATAACAGAGCACAAATGATTAGAAAAAGGTACCCACTAGAACATCCCATGTGCATGAACAGTTTTACTGCAGATAGCATTATCTAACTTGCAAATGAATTCAACCCGTTATGCACAGCATTAATTTTCATTTTCTTTTTGAGTTAGCGTTATGTTGAAATAGTTGTTCCTTCTCTATTTAACTTTTCTTAGTTCTTTGATGAATTTCCCTCCATTTTACATATTTCAACTTGAGTGTACATAAGACTTCAAGATCATCTGAGTCAATTCAAGTGATATTTACAATACCCATGGTCAGATTTCCAACTAATTCAAACCACCAGTTTTTTTTCCTCTACCCATGTCTTAGTAGAATCCATACCAAGTTCCAGGCCAGCAAATGTTTGTGAGCTAGCTATAATCAGAGGGGAACATGAAATGCAGGATTCTTATTAATGCTGTGCAAACAAGGGTCTCGTCCTTTCTAAAACTATTTGTACATTTGTAAAAGCAATACAATCATGGGAAAAACAAGCACAGCTTGATATAATGACTTGCCATGAAATATCACAATAATTTACTACAACCTTCCTTTTTATTCACACTGGAAAGTGCTTCCATCTAATACATGGAATACAAATATATACAACGAAAATTTGGTCTTTATTCAGGAAAAAAGTATATGAGCACAATCATATGAGTGTTGTAAGGCTAATTTTGTGCAGTTTTTTGGATCAGAGTCTTATGTCTTCTGCCTTTTGTGAGAATGACACAAGTACTGACAGATTTTATAAACAACTTTTCTGGTTGCTGTTGTTTACTCTTAAAATACAGCCTTGTTCAATGCATAGTACACAAAAGTTTTCCTTATGCTGTAACTATAAATTACTAGGGATGACATGGTGAGTAAGTTTTAAGGACAAACCCTGCTAATCCTCTACAAAATAATCGATACATGTGAACTCCCCAATTTCACAAAAGAACAACTTCCCAAACCAATGCTGAAAACTGCACAGGGTCTCTGGTTGCCATGCTGTTGAGATCTTGAACTTTGCATTCTTGCCTGATATCCACAATCTTGGTTTTAATTTTCCCATGGCAGTTGTAAGCCATGCTGCAACGGTGTGGGATAGACTGTTCTGTACTGCCTGCAGTCAAAACAGTCATGATGAGCTCACAGTCTATGTGGTGAGCCTGGGGAACCCATTCTCCTGTGGAATAGTTTCCTGAAGCCTAGCAATGGCATTTCAGGTGACCAAGACATTCCAGCACCTGCTTCATAAGGGATTATACGAAAGAAGGGACTAAGGGTTTGAAACTAGACAATGTGACAGGATGAAGAGGGGAATAGGGGTGGTGTTTTCAGGAGTTCTGACAATCATATCTGCATTAGCTCTATGAGAAGGTTGGGGGATCCTATGGAAGTATTTAAGTTTGGAGAGAAGAGCTATGTCTGAGGTACATTTGGTGAAGTGTCATTTTGACAGTGGGTATGGTCTCCTACTAAGGGATTTTGCCAAGATCTATTTTCTTCTGACCAGATGTCCCTGGGCTTCTCCAGAATCCCTGGGGCTGGGTTTTATCCCTTTTCTAAAATTGTTTTGCACTGTCAAGTTGGAACTGACCCATAGAGAGTTTTAAGAGGCAGTTAATGGATGGCAGTAGATTGTCCATTTTTCTCCTGCAGAGCAGCTGGTGAATTTGAACCTCATACCTTTAGGCTGTAAATGTTACTCCTTACCACTGAGCCAACTCTCTCTGATTTTTGACTGATGGATGGTGGTTCTTTGCAGTTGTGATTTAAATAAGAGTATGAAGAAAAGTTTGGGCTCTATGAAGAAAAAAAATGCCATGATCGATAAGCAGTGTCCACCATGGGTAGAAGAATGGGCCTTGGTGGAATATGTGCCATGTCTTTATAGTACTGTTCTAAGTGAGGAGAAAGAAATATAGTGGCTTAATAGGTTATTAAGAGGTCTTTGAAGACTGTAGCTCAAGACATTAAATTTAATTTTATATTGTTTTGTTCCAGAAAGGAAATGAGTATTTGAAGGTATATAGAGATAAGAACTTTAGGTCTATGTAAAGCTAGATGAGATTATTTTTAATAGGTAAGTTAGCAGCAAGCTCTTGACAATGATCTCTGTTTTTACTCCTGAATGATGAAGCCCAATATTTAGAAAGTAATTACAAGGCTTTCCAATGAGCATGGTCCAGAAAGGCAAGCAGAGCTAGGGGATCTCAGTCTTGGCAGGTATTTCAGGCAAGAAATTTCTCAATTTCATATCTAATGCATTTTGTCCTTGGTAGATAGCTGAACTTATCTGTGAAAGTCAAGGAGAAGGACATTTACATCCATACCTATAAGCCTTAAAAAAATTCTTATTAATCAAAAGATCTGGAATAACTTCCTTACACCATCAGGACTATTGTGTCTCAGCTCTGCCTAGAAGTTTCTGGCACACACTTTACCATGAGAGTGAAAAAAAACAAAACAAAAAACAATGATGGAATCTTGGAAACATAAATTCATGTCTGTCTCTAAAAATAGGATCAATCACTTCTTTCTACCTTAGGAGACTTAAATAGAACCCAAATTTTGATCTTTAACATGACTCATTAACAGGTTGCTATTTCACAATGTCTATTGACTTAGAGGACCATGTTTGGCCAAAGTCAGACACTTCTAGCTGCTGATGGCCTTTGGGTTTAAAAAAAACCGTGTGATACTCCTATCAATGCACAGAGCTGATTTCACTTACACACCAGTAGAGCAACATTTTTTCCCACTAGTAAACACTTGCTTTCTTCCTTATTTAGAAACTGAGAGGATTTGAAAGGAAGATATGCACATTTTTTTTTGTTTGTTTTACTCATGCTCTAATTCCAACAGAGCATTCTTTTGATTATATATTTGTCTGATGATGAACATACTGTCCCACTGGGTACCACTAGGTGGAAGGTTTCTGCTTTTATGGATGCCACAGGGGTGGGGACCTTTTGGTTTCCTTGTCAAGGACCCAGGGTCAAGAGATGAAGATGGGATGGAGGAAGGAAGCCAGCATGCAGAAACCCAGCAATACTATTTCTTTTCCAACTTTTGATGTTTTAGCCTCACATAAAAGATCTCTTACTGGTCTCTGTGAGATACAACCATTGGAGCATATTAGCAGTTTCACTGTTCATGGAACCTTCTTCTAGAGGTGAAGGCTATAAATGTGACTGTAGTTGCCTCATTTCTTTCCAGGAAGTTACAATCTTTTATTTCTTCCAGCAGATCACAATCTCTGGTGTATTGGCATTGCACACTGATTTTTGAAGTATGTGAATGTCAGTGGGCTTTTCTCCTACTCATTTTCAAAGTGGAAGTCTCCTCTAACTGGAAATACTTGATCTAACTCCACAGAGGAGCCTCCTCCTCCAAGTTTCTGACAGCAATCAGAACAAGAACTTCGGACTTTAAACAGAAGGCCTGGGAGGAGGTCTGGAAGGAGGAGGTGCTCTGTTGGGGGGTGGGGCTTGAGGGGGAGGCGGGAGGTTGGAAGGTGGGGATGGGATTGGAGGGGTGGGAGCATTGGGCGGGGGAGGAGGACAATGAGGAACAGGCGCTGGGGGAGTATATACGGGGGCAGGCGGTGGTGAAGTGGTGTGGTAGGCATTGTTGAGCGGGTACTTGGCAGGCGGATTGTTCTTGACTCTGGTGAAGTTGATGCAGCGCCCCTGCAGGGGGAGAAAAAAAAAAATGAGAGAAGGAAATGTGAATGGATGCTTGTTATGCCTTAAAATCCACCAGGGCAGGTGGAGAGTGCGCTGGGCAGCTGGGAGGAACCATATGTAAAACAGCTGCACTTACAATAGTGACATACTGGGCTACAATATCCTGACAGCAAATGAGTACCCCTTGCCTGGACTGAGCGTCAGCTACCTAAAGCCCAGTCTCCCTTCAAACTTCTTATGCCTAGGATGTTTCATTTTTCTCTCGGAGAGCAATATAGAAGTCTATAGAAATTATCCAGGTGAGAAAGGGCCAGGCCACACTACTGGGATGCATGGGGTCAGAATCTACTTTGGGGTAACTGTCTGCTCACAGTCCTGGTATTGGGTAGTTTATGGTTTCATTTTCTAGAAATGTGTTCAGCCTGTGGTGAGCAACTTGAATCCAAGGATGCCTTGATTTCCCTTTGGGGAATGCAGGGGATGAGGCTATAGTGTTTCAGGCCAATAATCTCTAAGACAAAGGGAGACTAACCCTACTGAATTTGAGTCTGATTTAGGAAATGTTTGAGAGATTACTCATCTTTCTCCCTAGGAGTTGGTGGATTAGAACCTTTCAGTTAGTAATGAGCATGTCACCGTACCACCAAGCCTCTGGAAGAGGGAACTGTTTTTGTTGTGTGCCACTGAGTTGGAACCAACTCATAACAGACCTTCTAGTGAGTTTTCTGAGGCAGCATATCTCATGGGAGGAAATTTTCCATTTCTTCCACAGGGCAGATTCGAACTGCATGCCTTCAGATTGGCAGCGTTTCAGACATTGTAAATCACATAGGAGGAGATTGCTCATCTTTTCCCTGGGAAACAACTGGCAGATTCAAACCATGTACCTTTGGATAGGTAGTGTAACTCTATGCCACAAGTCTACCAGAGCTCCCAGGAAGAAGGAATTATGTTTGTTACTTGAGAATCCCAGTACAGGCAGAATGCATGTTAGGATCAAGGTAGCTTATGGTATTGGTCCCACTCATGCTACATGTTATAAATCAAATCCCTTTTCCTAAACACATTCCTCCCTGATGACGTCAGCCTCCATGAATCCTTTACTCCCTTCCTGATTTCTCTAGTTACAGGTTACTACACATTGAGACCTGGATACTATAGTCCAAATATCTTTTGTATTCAGCTTTTTTGCAGTTCAGAATCTCACAGGTGTCCTCCATAGTAGGGAGAAATGTCAGTCAAAATAAAATTGAAATATCTTGGAAATTGTTGATCCTTTGACAATATCAACAATGATCTGAAAATCCATTTGTAAGACAGACAGCATTAATAAAAAAAGAGTCTTGACAAGGAGTTGCAAGATTAATGGAACTGCAATAGGTTTAGGAATCTCAGTGCGATATTTAAATGCCAGTATCCTGTTCTATCTGGATTTGAACTTCATGAGGTTAAAGCAGAATTTAAACTTCCTAAGCTCTTATTGGGGGTCTACTGACCGAAAATAAAAATCACCACCATCTCATTGCACAGTTCAGAGTTCTGAGATCAAATTCAGTTAGGTTTCATATATAACATTGATTTTGTAACAAAGTGCTATAAATTTCCAAGTTGCCCATGAAGTTCTCTTTTTTATAGTTTTAGAAATCTAATCCTTTGTTAAAGTTTGTGATTCTTGACCAAAAAAACCTCTTTCCTTCAAGATGTTAACATTCTGATGATTACCATCTGTGATAAATTCCATTAATGGACAGCTCAGAATTAGGATTTACTGTACTATGAACTCTTCTTTTTGTTCCTAAACATGCTAAGTCAGATCATGAGGCTCAAGACATTCATTTCCTTTGCAGATGAAGATTAACTCTGTTTCTGAGGAAGAGCAGCTTATATGTGTTGACGGGTGAAGTTGAGTCTACTTTGATCTTGTAGACAGGAAAACAGGCTCAGATACAGGAATGATCTCATTCAGGGTAGAAAGGCAAGTTGGAGGTAGTATCAGGTTTTCTGACTCCTAGCTAGTCCTTTCTGTGTGAGCTGCAGGCTGTGGCCTCTACATTTAAATTGGAATCTATAATAAAACAAGTGCCTGGGGGAAACAGAGCAGTGTGTCTTGAGCTAGAATAGGTCTTTTAGCTGTATCTTCTGACAGCTTGTGACTACTTAACTCCTATAATGTGTATATTTAAAGGATCTTCCACAGTGCTTTGCACACAAAGCTCATTTACACAAATTATCTTCCCAAGAAAAGGTGCAGACTAAGAGTAAACAGACCCACAGGGCCACTTAAAGTAAGAACCAATTACGTCTTCATAGGAGCCTACAAATTAAGTTCTTCAAACCTGGAGCCAGAACAGGCACACAAACCAAAGCAACAGAAACAAAACCCAGACATTAATCCATCTATCTACGGCCAACTGATATTTGACAAAGAAACAAAACGTCTCAAATGAGGAAATGACAACCTTTTCAACAAATAGTGCTGCCAAAACTGGACCTGCAGAAAGCTTAAGCAGGATGCATAACCCTCATAATTTACAGAAATGTACTTACTCAAGGTGGATCAGAGACCTAGGGATAAAGTCCAAAATCATAAAGATCATAAGAGACAAAGTAGGACCAAGCTTAGAAGGCCTACCTCATGGTATAAAAAGGCTGACAAATACAGCCAGAAATACACAACCAGAAGATAAAAATGAATGAATGGGTCTTTGAAAGATTAAATCCCTGTGTGCACCAAAAACTTTTTCCAACAGAGTGAAAAGAAGACCTACTGACTGGGGGCGGGGGGCGGGAACTGGCAATATTATCTCCGACAACGGTCTCAAAATAAAAGTTTACAGAATTCTACAGGACTTCCATAAGAAAAAGGCTGATAATCCAATTACAAAATGAGTTAAAGCCCTTTCATAGAGGAAGACATTTGGATGGCAAAAAGACACATGAAGAAATGCTCAAAATCACTGATAATAAGAGAGATACAAATCAAAACCACAATGGGATTCCATCTTACCCCAGTAGCAGTGGTAAAGTTTAACAGGACAGCAAGTGATAAATGTTGGAGAGGTTGTGGAGGGATAGGAACTCTCATACATTGTTGATGGCATTGCAAAATGGTACAACCGCTTTGGAAGACAGTTTGGTGTTTCCTCAAGAAGCTGAACATAGAAATTCCATATAACACAGCTATTCCACTACTTGCAATATACCTTGAGAAAATTAAAATTGAGACACATTCGTCATCACAAGAACATGGAAAGAGCCAAAATATCCAACCACAATGGAATGGATTGAGAAATTATGGTACATTCATACAATGGAATGCTACACAGCATGTGGGAACAAGGATCTTGAAAATCACTACCTAACAGGGGAGGGACTGGAGAGCATTATGCTAAGTGAACTCAGTCCCATGAGGACAAATACTGTATAAGACTATTATTGTAGAAGTAGAAAGATAACTTGTAAAATGAGTATGAGGATCCAAGGGGGAGGGAAGGGGCAGAGGGGTGAGCATGGGTAGGGAGGGGGAACCACAGGGTCACATAATTTGATGGTTAGAGAAAGGAGTGGGTAAAAGAAATGAAAAGGCAGAGATTTGGAAAGACAGGTCAACAGTGGGCACATTTCAGTGTTGATTAATTTTATAAAATATAATGAATGGGAATCATTGTATGACACACAGTGTGAATGAAGATAAAGTGAAAAACAATACATACAAACTCTGTAAGCAAACCAGTATAAAATAAAAAAATCTTGCTTTATTTGCTTTAGGAGCTCATTCTCTGCTCACTGTATTACCCTGAATATAAATGGAAAATGCAAATAGTCTTGGCAGAACTCTAACACTAGATGACATCACAAAATGTGGCACTTGGCCACAATTCAACCTCCACACAACTGTCAAAGGATTTTCCCAGAACATATACCAAAACAACCAAATTGGTGCCATTTCTGACTCATAATGTTGTTGTTATGTGCAATTGAGTCATCTGCAACTCATAGTGACCCTATGTACAATAGATCTGAAGCTTGCCTGTCCTGAGCAAGTTTCACTGACTCCAACACATCTTATCCCACTGCCCCAGTTATTATGTCCATTAATCTCATCTGGGGTCTTCCTCTCCTGAACTGTTCCTCTACCCTTCCAAACATGATATCCTTCTCCAAGGATGGTCCCTCCTGGCCACATGCCCAAAGTATGTGAGATGAGGCTTCATAATCCTTGCCTCCAAGGAGAAATTTGGTTTCACCCTTTCCAACAGACCTGTTTGTTCTCCTGGCAGTCCACAGTATGTTCAAGACTCCTATCTAGCACCACAACTCAAAGGCATCAGTCAGGAAATCAAAAGAATAATCTGACTCATGGCAATCCCATTTTTTTTTAATATAATACAGAAAAACATTTGTTGACAATTGTAATTTGGATTTTGTAACCTTACCCTTAATTGACTATGGTGGTATTTCCATCACTATTAACCCACTTCTTTTCTGTCTTCTGCTCCATAGGATTTTCAATGGCTTCAACCTTTTGGAAGTAGATCTACTTTTAGAACATAAATCTGGCCAATCTGTAACTTTCTAGTCTGAAATTGCCAAGAAGCAATGAGAGACTCTCAACCAGACAGCAAGGAGTTGAAGATTAGTTTATTATTTAAAATGTTAGGTAATTAAGAAAGTGTTTATTGTAGACAATTCAGTAAATACGATAGTGTTTGAAACAGGTTATTATGAGAATGAGTAATTGAGACCATTACACAAAGGACAATTAACCATATTTTTCTTACTATTTCATTCTATAGCTACAACTCTTTATGTTATTAGTGCAACTGACACTTCTTCCTACCGAGGGTGATTAAACCACCTATGCTTTCCCTTTTCACATAAGTCATGTGGAGGAGGGAAAAATTTACAAATTAATGAGTTTAAACAGGCATGCGTCCAAGATCCACAATCTGAGTTTTTGCACAAGCTTTGTCTCACTTTGAAAGGACAACCTGATCTAGAGT